CCCTGAAATTTTAGAATATCAGAATTTTCTTCAAAAAATAGTAAAAAATGTAAAAAGTTGAGATTACTCAGCCTAGATTTTTTGTGATAAGGGGGGTTGAGCCTGGTTTATCAGATATTTTTTCCAGAGATAAAATCTCGGAAATCAATTTTTTGATTTTTTTTAATTTTACGACAATAAACTAATGTGGTGTTCCAAGAATTTCCGTTAACCACCGTTAAACCTGTATTATAAGATCCTTTCAATAGAAGGGCAGGCTCTTTTAATACAGGTTTTACGGTAAGTGGACATCTGGACCAACCTCCAAAAAGATAGAGATGATGGAACACCCCTGAACTAGTCAATCCCTTCTTTAAAGCCTCCTTATTCTTCTAAGCTTGTTTGTCTTTAATCCAAAGTTTATTGTGATGTCTTCTCTTTTTCTTTTTTTCTGTTTTCCTTTCGATTTTTCCAATTTTAGAACTCTCCCTCTCTCCAGTTTTTCTGGCTCATTTTTTCCTGCTCATCCTCAAATTTAAATAATTTCAGAATTTTTAATCCTCTGAAAATCCTGTTGATAATTTTTGATTCTTAACACTGGAACACATAATTCTCTTAACTTATTTTAAATTTCAGAATTTCAAAAAGTTTGATTTCTTAAACTCAGATCCGTTCCATCAATCGATATCGTTTCGACCTGCAATTTCCGAAAAGACATGAAATCCCTTTTCTGATAACTTCAGATTTTTGGAAAATTTCTAAAATCCGAATTTCCGTTCCCAGATCCCTGATCTATCTCTAACCTCGACATCCAGACTATCCGAGAGAGAGAGAGAGAAAGCGTATCTAAATTCATTAATCAGATTGTTATACATCTATCAATGATTTGGGGAAGAATAAGAAGACCCTTCTCCTTCTCCTTCTTTTCCATCAATTCCGAACAGGTTGATCACAGAAATGTACAATCAATTCTCCCCTCCTTCTCATTCTTGTGATCACCTTCTTCTCCTTCTCCTTATCTCCTTTTTTATTCTTCTTCTTCTTTTTCTTTTAATTTTATTGATTTGAAGATTTCGAGAACATTCGATGAGTTTCGAAATAAATAGATCTTGTCTCTGAAATTTATTACTGATGGACCTTGTGATTTTGTTATCGTATGATTCCTTATCATTTGGTTTTTAAAGTCACCTTATGTTTTTTTGGGAACTTTGAATCTTGTACTGTATTTTAAGAATTCTGAAAATCTGAAAATCTGGTTAAACATTTCCTTTGTTCTGTTTTTTTCACTTGTTTTCCGTCTCTTTCAAACCTACAGTACCCCAATTTTCAGGCCCAGCCTCATTGCTGAAACCTCAAAAAAGAAGCATCTTCTCTAACTTTATATATATATATATATATTAATCCAAATACAAATCTATTTATTCCCACCAAATGAATCAAAAATTTTGAAAAATATAAAATTATCATGATTCTGAGGTTTCTCATATTCACAGCATTGGCTGTGACAACAGCCAATTCTAGTACACGACAGCAGGCGGCAGCTGCTTCGTCGGCTTTTCATTCTATTCAAGGTGAGTGTTTTTTTTGAAATTTAAGAAATTATTTTGAAAATCTGGATTTCTGAATTTCAGAATCTCGGGGGGTTAAAAATTTTTTTCGGAATTTCTGAATTTTCGAAATATCCCAATTTCAAAAAAAATGTTGAAAATCTAAACAATTGCAATTTTTTAAAAAAATATACCGTAGAACCTGTATTAGAAGGGCTGGCCTTTCTATTGTTCCAAGGTATCTCCGAAGAGCCCTTCTATTACAGGGGCCCAATTAGAGGAGGGCCTTCTATTTTTCCGACCAGTTTTTTCCAAAATTTGCGTCGAAAAACTTGCCGAAGTGTCGTTCAAAATTCATGAATCTGCCAATTTCACCAGAATTTAACAAGATTTTCATCGAAAAATAGAGTTTCAACAAATTTCTAAAAAATTTTGGGGTCCCTTCTATTTTTCCAAGACCCTCGAGGAGGGCCCTTCTATTAGAGGAGTCCATCTATTAAAAGAGCCTTCCTAACACAAGTTTTACGGTAGTTTCAACAAGAAATTGAACGAATTCTAAAATATCGTCTCTCCTATATTCCATAATATTGAGATTGTCTGCTAGGGTTTCATCAGAAGTGAGCTTGAGTTGAGTAGGCAATTTAATACTGTAATAGAATGTCCCCTAGCTCAAATTCCGTTTCTCTTGTGTTCTGTGAAAGATATCAATAGGTGGTCAACTAGTAAAATACTTTTCGTAATAACACCAATATTTTGTCAGTCTGTCACTTTTCAATATCTTACACAGGAATTGAGAAAAATTTGGTCAAGTTGAGGACCACAGACTTGTTTTTGAATATTATCATATTTGTACACTCAATATTAGCTTGTTTTCTCATTTCTGCGTCTCTCGCTCTCTCTCTCTCTCTCTCTCTCTCTCTCTCTTCGTTCATTATTGAGACACTATTTGTGCTATGAGGTGTGCGTGTTCCGTGCAACACCCCAAGACAAAAGTGCGCTCACGAAACAGTCTCCGAAAATTGAGAAAATTCAATGAGAGAAGAGAGATAGTGGGGAAACGAGAGACGCAGAGAACACAGAGTGGTCAGTTTTCGAACACCTTAACCTTTTTTGGGGGTTTTTTGGAGTGGGGGTGAGTATACAGAGAAACTTATGACAAAATAGGGAAAAGTGACGTCGGTTTGAAGGGAAATTTTTGAAATTCCAAAAAATTAGGTGTCGAAAAATGTGAGAAAACAACAGAACTTCCTAAAACCATAGAACCCAAAAAACGAAAATCAGAAATTCCAAAAGTGCCAAAATTTTTAAATTTCATAAAATCCGAAAATCCAAATCTAAAATTTAAATTCTAAATCTTGAGAATGGTTTTTATTGATTTTCATTATTATAGATGTTTCGTTTTCTCCCAAAAACGTTTACAAACCGCTTCCTATTTTTTAAACATTTTATCCAAATTTTTCAAATTTTTTTTCTATAAAAACAACTAATAAATTATCAAAACCAATCAGCAATCACATGATCCTTCAGAAGGTGTCAACAACTTCTGATTCTTTCGTAAATTAAAATGTCATCAGAACAAAAAATACAAGTTTACAATGGTTTCTTTCTCAAACAATCATTCAAATTGGCGCCAAAAAAGAAAAAGAAACAAAAAAACCAGATTCTTTTGACCACAGAAGATTTGACCAATATACCGTGTCGAAACGACTAAATGGATATGTATGGGTGTGGAAAAAGACATGGAAAAAAGAATTGAGATTTTGTGTAATCGCCTTTTTTTAATGCTAAAGCTAGATATGCAAAAACTTAAAGGACAAGGGATGGGCAAAATTCAGAAATTCAGAAATTCAGAAATTCAGAAATTCAGAAATTCAGAAATTCAGAAATTCAGAAATTCAGAAATTCAGAAATTCAGAAATTCAGAAATTCAGAAATTCAGAAATTCAGAAATTCAGAAATTCAGAAATTCAGAAATTCAGAAATTCAGAAATTCAGAAATTCAGAAATTCAGAAATTCAGAAATTCAGAAATTCAGAAATTCAGAAATTCAGAAGTTCAGAAATTCAGAAATTCAGAAATTCAGAAATTCAGAAATTCAGAAATTCAGAAATTCCGGAAATTCCAAAAATTTCCAAATTCAGAAGTTCAGGAAGAAATCCAAAAAATCTAAATTTCAGAAACCCCCAAAAAATCAGAAATTTCGAAAATTCCGAAAAACTGGAATTTTTGAAAAACTCACAAAAATCAGAAATTTCAAATTCCGAAAATATTTAAAAAATGCAATTTTTTTCAAATTTCTGAGAATCCAAAAGTCACAGAATTTTCAACAAAAAAATACAGGAAAAAACATAAAAAATACAGGAAAAAACATAAAATTTTCAAACTTATAACATTTTTGTAAACATTTCGTAAAAATCCCAAACCCTTCAATTTCCTAAAAATGTAAAAAATTTCGAATGTTTTAAAGTTCAAAAATATCAAAAAGTTAAAAATGTTCAAATTTCAAAAATTACATAAAAACCACATTTCTCGAATTTCGGAAACTCCGAAAATTCAAAAAAAAAAATCACACTTTCCCGATTTCGAAAACCCATGAAAATTCAAACCTTTCAAATTCCAAAGATACCACGAGCTCAATTTTTCAAATTTCAAAAAAAAAAAGAAATTTAATCCAAACTTTCAAGTCCTCGAAAATTCCATAAAAATCCCCAAATTCTCCAAAACTTCAACTTTTTCAAAAATTCAAAATTTCAGTCGATTCTCCACCATCAGTGCGTTCTCGAATAATCTCCGCGTCTGTGAATACGGCGTCTTCAGTTTGCAACGAAAACGATTTCCGATGTTCTGATGGAAAATGTATTCGTGCCGAATGGAAGTGCGATGGATCTGGTGATTGCTCAGATGGAGAAGACGAGAAGGATTGTCGTAAGTGACCTAGTTTTTTTTAGGCCACTGAACATGGAACTTTTAGTTTAGGGTCCCCATGGGGAACTGCACATACAGTACCAGACAATAAAATAAACGAAAATGTGTCCAAAGCCAGGCTGTCAAGTTTCCGATCACTTTAAAAACTTTGCATTCACCGAATTTTTGGAAAATTCCTAGTTTTTCAGCTATTTGCCGACACCCCTTTTAGGCCCGTTTTATGCTGAAGATATGAAAAAAAAAGGTGTCTTCCAGAAATCGGCAAACAAGGAATTTTCAAAGAATTATATGAATGCAAAGGGTTTACACCCTCCAAAATTTTCAAAGGGATCTGAGAGCTCCAGACTCCTGAAAATGTTTGAAAATCAAGTGAAAAACACGCTTGACCGATACTGTATATAGCAAACTTCCAAGAATTGTTCCATGGCCTAGAAACCCCTGTATTGATTTTCTAGTAACCCCTTTTCCAGCACATCCTGGCTGCAAATCCGATCAATGGCAGTGTGACACCTACACGTGGCACAGTGTCTCCTGTATCGCCGAATATCAGAGATGTGATAATATCACGGATTGTGCCGACGGTTCTGATGAAAAGGATTGCCGTGAGTTATGGACATCCGGACACACCGACAATCTCTCATTTAAGCTGCTTCCACTGTCGACTGCAGCTCTCCGAACGTTTTCATGTGTGCCGATGGTCGTCAATGCTTTGATATCACCAAAAAATGTGATGGAAAGTATGATTGCAGAGATTTGAGTGATGAGAAGGTGAGTTTTTTGATGACCTAGAAATTTGAACTCAATTATCTCGGCGCCTTTTAGAGATATCAAAAATCTGACAACAAGTAAAATGTAGGAAATATTATGGGAAACATTTTCACTGGGGTTCAAGCGAGCGGGTCAGAAAGCGCGCCCCAGCAAACTCGTAGGCCAGAAGAAATTTAATAATTTTAAATTGGACGCGGGTTTGATCTAGATCATGATCTATTTCTTCAAAATCAACTGGTTGCAAGGCGCGCTTTTTCGCTCTTCATTTAAAACTG